CACATATCAGCCATCTGTCTAACTATTTAAAGATAAACTTTATATTGTCGGTATTCTGTTGATAGAGATCAAGGCAACAGCCTACTCTTAAAGATAGCAGTACGGCCATTACCTATTATGAGAAAGCATAAAATAGAAGGGGATATGGGACTAATACATAATTAGATTGTTTGTATATGGGAGCGGGAGTTGGCTATTATAAATAGGAGGTGTTATGGTTAGTTAGGGAGGCTGGTATTATTTTGTTGGATTGGGACTAGGAGAGTTGGCACACTTTAACTGCCTTTGTATTTCTCTCTCTCTTTTCTGTTATACGAAGCTTTCTATTCTTACGCCCATCTCTTTTCTTCCCCAAGCCTCTCTCTCTCTCATTACTTAAGGAGCCTCTCACAAGGCTTTCTCTAGGCTCACCCTCAAAGCTCTCACACTTATGAATGAGGAGTCCCACCCTATTTATACAACTCTCTTTAAGGCTTCTCTAGAACTTTCTATACATCACTACACTTTTAGATTCTTCCAAAAAGTATCCACAAGCTTCTCTAAACTTCTACAAGATCTAGAGAACTTCACACTACGTCAAAATGTTTTAGAGGCTTCCACACACTTTCGCACGATTCTAGAGAATACCACACTTCTCTAGAAAACTCCACAATGTTCTAGAATATTCTACACTCTTCTACACGCTTCTAGATAATTCCACGTCTCTCTAGAAAGCTCTTGAATATTCTAGAACATTCAAAACTTCTGTACACACCTAGAGAATTCTAGATAGAATTCTAGATATGTCCGCTGTATTCTAGAATTCTCATGAGCTTCTCAAATAAGGAGGAACCCATTAGTATGCATCGATAGGCTTCTCCTAGAAAATCAAGCTTTCCCTCAAGCTTAAAAACTTGAAGCTGGCGCTGAATATTTACCCTAATAAAAAGTGCCAGCTATCCTTGTATTCTTGAAGGGGATGGCAAGTTTGTTGTAGAGGTGAACTAAAGTGAAGGTGAGCAAAATCAATAAGAAATTCCATTGAGAGACAATGAGAAACTGGAATGATTTTTCTGGACCAAATGGATCTGAAAAGTCTAAGTAAGTTGTCCTGAGAAGTTCTTCGAGCACGGTAGTTTGCATTGTCATGTCGCAGACAATGTTGGCACTAGAAGTTCTTCGGCTGCCAAGGATTCCATTAATTGGGAAAAGTTCAGTCTGTTAATCCATTGTTGGCACTAGAAGTGGCTCAACCGACTACTTTAATGGCTGCAGTTTTAGTTGAACCTTCTGCAATGCATTTTGCAGTTTATGAAGGTGTAATTGGCTTCTTAACTTAAATCTGTATCTCTGAGAGGAGCGTGTACTGATATGTGGTAGTGTGAAATATTCCCTCGACGCCGGCAATGGAACTAAAACAATTTTTAGTGGGGCTCTTTGCGTCACGAGAATTATTTAAATCAATATATGCAAGGGCAGTAGAATAACAGGGATTACATGCATATAAATTATAGCCAATCAACTCCTAAAATAGATAGGCTAGTGAAGGCATTAAAATTACAATAAAATGCTATGTGTCAGGGTTCTTCGTTCATGGTATTGATTTAAAAGGACAGACCTGGGGGGTAGTGGACTTTAGGAAGTTTTCCTTCTCCTTTGGAATTTGGGAAGTCTCTTTTCTCCTTGATTTTTTTTTCCTTCAAATTTGGGAAGGAAGAAATTCTAGCAAATCACTTCCTAAAATAGTTAAATATATGAGCTACTGAGCTAGTGAACCCATTGTCTGCCCTATATAAAATATACTTCATTCCATTTTATTATATGCATTAGTACACTTTCTCTTTTCAGCTAACCTTCACCTTTTCACTTAGTGGGCCACGTATTTTTTAGAAAAATAAAGAATTTATTCAGTATACTTTTGCTGTGTGCCCGTCAATGGTGTGTTTGATCCACTTGTCATTTAAATGAATTCTTAAACGTAGGACGTGTGGAGGTCTATGAAACATTATATTACTTCCTAGAATTCTCATTGCAGGCTTGCATATCGAGAACGTACTTTGCAATTTCTTCTCTGGTAATGGTGTATTGGTGTCCGTTATAGCTACACAGAACCATGTTATTTAAAACATCATGAACACTTGACTCGTTTGTAGATTGATTCATTCTTTTTCAGCTACCTAGTGCTTAAGTACCTGCCTACTAGTTCTGACTTCTGACATTGCATAACTTTTGGTTGTTAGGTGTTTGAGTTGAGCTCAACGCAGGGGCCGGGCGCTGGGCTCTTTTTTGTATTGTTGTCCGTTATAGCTACACAGAACCATCCTATTTAGAAAAATTCATATTGCAAAACATCAAACATCGGTATTTCTTTAAAAGAATATACCAAATCCATTTGTATCCTACATATTTGACAGAGCAGGATCTTGAGGTCGGCGTTATTAGTTTACTACTTCTGTTCGCATTTCTTTTACTTCTCAGTACAATAAATGGATAACAGTGATCTCCATTCTTGGATATATTGGAGTCAGCTATATATACTTTATTCTCTCTACCTACGTATGTAGGATGCACAATTCTGCTCCGAGGAATGCATTTCCCTGTTTCAGAAACCCGTTAATGTTTGTTGCAATCTAAGGAAATGGCAGAAATGAATTTTGAATCCATTCAGTAATTTTTTAAAGTACGAAACATGTTTCTTTTTGAAGTGGACGTTTTGGACACTGCGCTCTAAATTCCAAAACTTATACCTGGGAATTAAGTTTTACCGTTCCTACTTCCTTCTCCCTAAACATATTTGAGATCCTTTATTTTTTAAAACTCCAAATTGTGTTTCTCGTTTCAATGTCACTTGGCTATCCACCTGCCCGTCTATCCATCAATTCATCTACCCATCTATCTAATTTTACATATATCTAACATTTTATCTTTATATTATTTGGTGTCCTGGAAGTTTCCATTGAATTGTGTTTGTAGCAAGTGACCTTTTAATACAACATTACTTATACATAAAAATGGAGCATGTCGATTACTATCTCGAAATTTAGGTTATTTCTGTGCAGGGGTTGGTTGTGATGTGGAGGTTCCATTGGAAATACATAATCTAAGGGAGGACTGAGGAGAACCCAGAAAAATTCTACAATCAGGTAATTTAGTTTCTTTATTATATGTTCTTTATGGTGTCCTAGGAGGGGGAGAGGTCGTTTTTGCTTGTTTGGAACCTTTTAGCACACAATCACTTTACTGGTTAAGTAAGGCTGCCTTTGGGTTTGAATGGATTTGAATTTGTGTTTTAATTAAGCATTCAAATGTTTTAAACCGAATGTGGATTTTTTTAGTTATATTCCCAACCATACTAAATTTGTTATATCTGAACTGTTATGCAAGTGAGAAACGCCTCATATTTGTTTCATGTTTCTTTCGTGTTTGTGTTATTTTTCGACAGTTTATGCAGGTGCGCTTTTTTTATGTGAAGATGTAATCAATTTGTTTGTAGTTTGACAGCAACTTATGATGTTACAGTGTAAATAATATGATTGCAGTCCCTGAACAAAGTTCTCAGTTTGAGATGTGTATTTGGGATTGTTTATCTTTTAGTGATACAAAGTAGTTTAATACGTTCAGATTTCCAGAATGGACTAAATCACAATTCAGTGTTTTCATCTTCATTTAATACGTAGCACACTGTTTTATTATGGTTATGGCCTTAAGGGTGGTACCAGTAATATAACACAAACGTGTTTCCTGTTGTTGGAGTGCTATTGAAGTGTAAATTTGAAGTCCCAAAAATCTATCAAGATCAATTATCACGGTGATATCATAATCCATTACATCCCTCATCCCTGTACAAAACCAGTTTGCTGATATTTTTACAAAGAACTTGAGTTCTTTTTAGTATTCATCTCTACTTCTCTTCTTTAACTTTTGACCTTCATTGGCACTTTGTATTTCTCAAACTTTTTTTTATTCAATAAAATTCGTTTTTAATGCCAAAAAAAAACTTGCATTATCTTATTATGTATTTATAATGGAGTCAAGCTTGGGTCATCACACTCGAAGAGTGAGCAAGAACGTGATTAGTAAAGCCTTGCGACTAGCCGCATTAACATGATGGAAAGCTACAAAGTCAATCAAGGAAAATCAAACCTCTTCTACTTAGGGATGGACTCGGGCCGGGCGGCCCGGCCCGGTTACTGTTTGAACCGGCCCGGCCCGGTAGGAAAGCGGTTCGGGCTCGGGCCCTAGGATTGGTGAACTGGCCCGGCCGGTTCGGGCCAAATTAATTATTTTTTTTTTTTGAATTTTTTTTTTAAGTTTTTGGGTTGGGCTGAGTATTTTGGGCCAGTTGAGGTGGTTTGGGGGTGAAGGAGGAGGGTTGGGGGTTAATTAGGAAAAGCCAAAAAAAAAAAATAGAACCGAGGCCCGGCCTGGCCCGGACCCGGGATTACCCGGGCCGGTTCCGGGCCTCCCATTCTTGAACCGAGGCTTGGCCGGGCCCAGGCCCGAACCGGAACCGGTCCACCCCTACTTCTACTCCCTTTCGGACCCATGTGCTTACAAGTTATGACTATGAGTAAAATAATAAAAGAAACCAAAAAAAGAACGATTGAAGATAAAATATACTAGAAATGGATAATAATTACTCGATTTTTATCTCATTTTTACAGTAGTAGAGAAATTTTTATCTTATCATTTAGGATAATACGTAGTACATAAAATTAGGAGTTATAAGTTGTAACACACAATGACCACAAAAGTAAATGTAATATTCTGAATATGTGCAATTTTAGATTGTAATGTCTATTAATTAGCTAATTGTAAATGTTTCATGTAGACCAATATGTTCTATTCAAGTAATAATCTATAAGAAAAGACACCTCCTTTTCTTTTTCGGGATCCCAACCTAACCTAGTAACCTGAAAGAACATGAAAGAAATGCGTGCAATCAAAGGTGGTAAATCACAATCGGCCGACATATATGCACTAGAGACCAGTATGGTCCACTTGTAACTAGCACAACAGTATGCAGACAGACATGCCTTTGCGTTTGATTTTTCTCTGTGAAGATCCCTTACTTCCCAAACACATCTTTCTCACTGCATCTTCACTTCCACTTAGTTAGCTTGCAACCTTTTCTTTTCATTCAATCGAGGCTCGGTATAGTATAGTATGGTATATAGAGTTTGTTATAATAACGAACACTTAATAGCGTATTCATAACTGGCCTAGCATATCATGACTACTACTTCTTCTTCTTTAGTGTTTGCACTGCTTCTTGCAGCCATTTCTAGTCCATCAAGTAAGATCTCATCTTCTTTTTTATTTGACCTTGTTTACTTGAATTTTAACAGTTTTTTTGGGAAATTTCCCAAACTATGAGTAAAAGGAATGTTGAATTTCAAAATATGAGTGACTATGTGTTTATATTTTGTACCCTTAAATAAGAGCAATTCTACTCATGTGTAGCCATTTCTGTTTTTTTTCCCCTTTCAGAAACACCACAAGGAATTATATAGTACATATTTATCTTAAGTTTGTTGAATTGATGGGTTATTAGATTAATCTCTCATTGCATCAGCCTTAAGTTAGCATTTCTCTTTTATATTAATCTAGCCCCCCGTCTGTGTCTCACTTTATAACATTTTATTTTGGTTTTAAGTATGTTGTTTCTGGGGATATATTTCATTGTAAAATGCATTCTGGATTTGTCAGTGTTTGATTACATTGGGAAACATATTTCCTCCAAGGGTTTTGTCTTATTTGGCACTGAAAACGTTTTATTTTTGCTTTTCTGTAAGCTTCTTTGAAAAGAAATTAAAGCCAGTTTCTCGATATAGTTGGGATTTTTCTATAAATTTGTTTATGAGTGTATTTATGTAGTACTATCTTCCGTTCTTATAAGTTGCAACAATTTGACTTTCACGTTTGTCAACACACAATTTTGATTGTGATTATATTTAATTACGTATTACGGAGTAGTAAACATTATAAAGTTAATATTTTGGAAATTCACATTAATAGAAAGTTAATAACATTTTGTATATAATAATTTGATAAAATATATTAGTAGAAAATTGCGAATAAAGGAAGATACGTAAATAGTGTAAAAATCACAATGTTGCAACTATTAAAGAACAAATTAAGTATTATATACATAGTACTCCGTATGTTATATGATGGACAATCAATGATATACATAAGACGATACATAGCTACTCTATATTGTGCAAGTCCACGACTCTACACCACAGGACAGGTAGGGTTGACCTGTTTGACAACTCTAAATATAATCAGCTCTAAATATAATCATCATAGATTAAAATCACACTAATTTTCAAAAAGCTTAAAAAATCGACTATTATGGATATTTTTAGTTGGACAGAAATTTTATGATATGGTCTGATTTGGTCGTTTTAAGTATTTGATCTAGTTTTGTAAATGTCGGGTGTATGAGTTTATCTGTATTTCATAATCGTTAAAGTCTAGTCCGATCTGCTCAAATCTGGTCTACTCTATCTGGTCTGGTCTGAGACTACTATCAATCCAACTAAAAACATAATATGTGGTTTTTTATCATTGAGTTTTTTTGTATATAAATGCCATGATGACATTATTAGTGGTATACTATACCAAATGTCACTATGACTAATAGCGGTAATAGTTTTTTCATGACTTTTCAGACATTTTTTTAATACAACGTCTATAATTTGTTGTGTCTACAAGCGGTGAATTAGGGCAGTCGGATGCATGATGAATGGGAAAAAAATTGATTTTGGATTGCATAATCATTTATTTTTTGACATGACAAACTCTAGACAAAATATCTATATGAGTAATTGAATTGGTAGGTGCAACATGGTGCATATGCATAATCACTATGACATTATTATTTGGTATACTATACCAAATGTCACTATGACTAATAGCGGTAATAGTTTTTTCATGACTTTTCAGACATTTTTTTTAATACAACGTCTATAATTTGTTGTGTCGACAAATGGTGAATTAGGGCAGTCGGATGCATGATGAATGGGAAAAAAATTGATTTTGGATTGCATAATCATTTATTTTTTGACATGACAAACTCTAGACAAAATATCTATATGAGTAATTGAATTGGTAGGTGCAACATGGTGCATATGCAAACAAGGAATAAGTGATCAAGAATTGCAAAAGACATTGGACTATGCGTGTGGGACAGGGGCAGATTGCAACCCCATAAAGCCAAATGGACAATGCTTCTACCCCAATACCGTTCTAGCTCATTGCAACTATGCCGTCAACAGTTATTTCCAGAAAAAGGCTCTCATTCCTGGCTCTTGTGACTTTGCTACCACTGCCTTTGTCACCACATCTAACCCAAGTATGCTCACCCCCCACTCGAGAAAAAACTATCCTAAATTACTTTATTAGTCAGTTTGGTTCCCTCGACTATTGTGTCAGTGTAATTTTTGGTATTCTCGGCTTTCAATTGCGCGATAGACATTTTTAATTCCCAACCTTAAAGTTTCTTACACTATGATTTTGACAATTTAAATCCTTACAAATTGTCAAATTTGTAATCCTTACACTATGATTTTGACATTTTTAATCCTTACATTTTTAATCCTCGAAGTATTATCAAATTGACAATTTAAATCCTTACACTATGATTTTGACATAATAAGTGGATGACTAAAAGTGTCACTATTATAATAGTTGAAGGATAAAAAATGAATCATTAAATATAAAATTTTCATAGATGAATATCAAAGATGTCGTGCACAATAGTGGGACTAAAAGGGCAAAAACTCCTACTTTGTTTCCTTTTTAATATTTTGCCTCTTTTTAAAATCATTTGTAGGTGTAGCTGGTTGTGCTTACCCTACAAGTGCAAGGTATGGTGGTCATATTTGCTAGGCCTCATTTTGGTAGTCAAGTCTTCTATGACTTGTCCGTAATTAGTACTTTCAACCGATTTAAGTTTCTTAGGCATAATTTTTGCAGCTAACTTAACTCTGTTATCGTTACTAATTAAATTTATCCGTATAATACTAGCTCCATTTGTATCAGCCTAGCTATAACTTGATTTGCGCAGAATTCCATATGAAGTACGGAGTAGTACTTTTTTTTATAAGGTGAAAGTTATTTTTATCATCATTACGTCGTTATAACCCGAAAAAGAAACGTTAAGATAGGATGAAGTAGTAGTGTACTTATTATTATTTTTTATTAAAGTGGATGTTGCCATAATAGCAATTAGCATGGTCCATTGGTCCATTCATTCTAATTTTTTTGAATAATAGTATGGTTGTGATCTAGTTTCCCTTCGAGTAAATGAGTCGTTGCTTTTTCACATTTGAAGTGCTATTCAATAAGATTACTAAATAATCAAATGAGCTAAATATGCATATCTTTATATCTACATTCTACACCATGACTATGGAATATTTAGGGTGTGTCATTATGAAATCTAAAGTTGAAGCGGCTTTGGGTGGCCCCTCTAATCCTCTTTATTATTCTTTAGTGGGACTCAAATCGGAATAAAGGTTCATTAATAGATATTGCATTATTAGTTGCACAATAAGGCTCTCATTTTTGTAAAGATATTCCACCTTCTTTCTTGGAAGTTGCCAAGAGACATATAACACCTTCTAGGAAGGTGCTATCAAACACAAACATGGAAGGAGATATGGAGATACTTTGGAAGCTTGGATGCAACTTCCTCTTGTCTCCAAACTAGTCCTATAAATAGAGTGCTCCATTGTTGTTCATGGTATCAGTTTAGAAAGTGAGAAAAGTGTGTGAAGAGTGAAATACACTTAGTGTAGAAGTGTATTGGTGAGGATTGTTTTTTTGTAATAGTTGAGTTTGAGAGTTTGCTCCTCCTATTGTAATTCTGTTCTTGATATTGAATAGAAGAATTTTCCAATCCCAACAAGTGGTATCAGAGCGAGGTTGAGTTTTCATACACTGTTTTCTCATTTTCAGATAAATTTCTACAGGTTAGAAAATCGTGATTTTTCAAGTTGCTCGGATTCACGATCTGATCATACCGTTAGATTCGTCTCGTCGAGACGAGAAATCTGGTATTTTTGGGGAATTTTTTGGCCACTGGAAGAGGCCGTACGCGCCGCCCAAACGCGCCGGAAAACTGCCTGCGTCATCATTGCGTCAGCACGCAGTCCAGAGGAAGAAGACGAGCCACGTCAGCCGCCACGTCAGCCGCCACGTCAGCCGCCACGTCAGCGCCACATCAGTGACACGTGGCGACACGTCAGCGCCAGCTGTTGCCACGTCATCCGCCTGCTGGTCTGCTCACTGGGCTGCTGCCTGAACCGGACCGAACCGGTTCGTACTTGTGGAGGCCGGTTCACCCATTTCTAGACCGGTTTTATACGAGGTCAGACCGGTTCCTACCATTTTCGGCCATTCCGGATCCAACGGTGAGCTCCGTTTGTCCAAATTCGGCCCCGAAAATAAGGTACGAGATATTTTGAGCGTTTTATTATGGATAAATCATCATCAGACACCATGATTGCGCTCACTTCCACAAATTACAATATGTGGAAGCCTCGGATGGAGGATTTGCTAAATTTGAGGGATTTAGCCGATCCTCTTGATAATAATGGCGTGAAACCGGATAAAAAGACGGATGAAGAATGGACAAAAATGAATAGAAAAACTGTCGCACAAATTCGGCAGTGGATAGATCATAGTGTGTTCCACCATGTTGCGCAAGAACAAAGTGCTTACACACTATGGGAGAAGCTTGGTAGCATGTATCAAGCAAAAACCGCCCGAAATAAGACGTTACTAATGAGGAGATTAGTAAACCACAAGTTACGAGGAGGTATTTCGGTGTCAGAACACACCAGTCAATTCCAGGATCTTGTGAATCAGTTGAGCACCACAGGATGGGTTCTCAAAGATGAAGAGCAGGTGATACTACTCTTGAGCTCTCTACCTGACAGCTGGGAGACTCTTGTTGTCACTCTCAGCAATTCTGCTCCCAATGGCAAAGTGACTATGCAGATGGTCACAGATGCCCTTATGAACGAAGAAGCCCGAAGAAAAGAAGTCGGGACTGAACAATCATATGCCTTCGTGTCAGAAACCAGCAGACGAGGGGGAGGCAGAAATGGAGGAAGAAGTAGAGGTCGAGGTAGAGGCCAAGGTCAAAACAGAGGAAATTCTCAAGTTCGCGGCCGATCACAAGAACGAGGTATGTCCTGTGAAAACAATACTTGGTTTGAAGGATATTGCAACTATTGTGGTAACTATGGGCATAGAAAAAGAGATTGTAGAAAGTTTCTACGAGAGCAGCCACAGACGAGTCAAAATACTAGCCAAGAAGACGGTGAGACCATGGTTAGTTTGTCATCAGACGTGTGTCTTGTTACACATGATGAACAAGAATGTTTACACGTAGGTACTCATGATGTTGAGTGGGTGATTGATACAGCCGCATCATTTCACGCCACTCCACACCAGAATTTATTCACATCTTATAAGTCCGGGGACTTTGGAGCTGTGAAGATGGGAAACACCAGTTTTTCGAAGATTGTTGGCATTGGTGATGTGCACATAACAACCAATGTCGGATGTGCACTTGTTTTAAAAGATGTTCGACACGTTCCGGATCTTAGATTGAATCTTATCTCCGGTACAGCTCTGGATCAACAAGGATATCTTAACAGATTCAAAGAAGGTACGTGGAAGTTATCTAAAGGTTCCTTGGTTGTTGCAAGAGGCCATATTTGTGGTACTCTGTATAAAACTCATGCAAAGTTGTGTCATCCGAGTCTCAATGCTGTTGAAGAAGAGATATCACCAAACTTGTGGCACCGGAGGTTAGGCCACTTAAGCGTGAAGGGATTGACAACTCTTGCTAGGAAGGAAAGGATTTCCATGGGCAAAGGTGTTGCCTTAGATCCATGCGAGCACTGTCTATTCGGGAAACAACACAGGGTTTCCTTCAGTTCTACCAGGAAGAACCATTCAGAGTTACTCAGTCTTGTACACTCTGATGTATGCGGACCCATTGAAGAGGAGTCACTTGGAGGAAGCAGATATTTCGTGACATTCATTGATGATGCATCACGAAAGGTATGGGCTTATTGTTTGAAGAGTAAGGATCAAGTGTTTGATCGCTTCAGATTATTTCATGCCATGGTAGAAACAGAAACAGGGAAGAAGCTGAAGTGTCTACGTTCAGACAATGGAGGAGAGTACACTTCCCGAGAGTTCTCAGCATATTGCGCCGCATATGGAATCAGACATGAGAAGACGGTTCCACGAACTCCACAGCACAATGGTGTAGCCGAAAGAATGAATCGGACCATTATGGAGAAAGTTCGTTGCATGCTGAGTATGGCTAAACTACCTAAGACATTCTGGGGTGAAGCTGTGCTGACAGCTTGTTATCTTATAAACAGGTCACCTTCTGTTCCTTTAAACTTTGAAGTGCCAGAGAAGAAATGGTCAGGAAGAGATGTTTCTTACTCTCACTTGAAAGTGTTCGGGTGCAAGGCATTTGCACATGTGTCCAAGGGGTTGAGACAGAAGCTTGATCTCAAGTCAAACCCATGCATCTTCATCGGGTATGGTGATGAAGAATTCGGATACCGGTTGTGGGATCCCGAAGTGAAGAAAGTTGTACGAAGCAGAGATGTTGTATTTCATGAAAACGAGTTTCATGGGAGTGCTCCAATAATCCGCCAACAACATACTCCAGAAGACGAAGTGCCTGTATCATCAAACATTCCTCTCAGCGACGAGGAGATGTATGATACTACTGAACAAGAGAGTGATGGTTCAGTAGGTGATGGTGATGCTCACGGTGATGATATTCCTCAGCAGGGGGAGCCTTCATCTGAAGATGAAGCTGAAGGTACTCATGTTCGACGTTCTATGCGAGGCATAGTTCCACAGAGAAAGTATTCCACATCTGAATGGATACTTGTCAGCGAGGGGGAGCCAGCGAACATCGCAGGAATGAGAGAAACAAAGAAAAAGGTGGAGGGGGAGATTTGTAAAGATATTCCACCTTCTTTCTTGGAAGTTGCCAAGAGACATATAACACCTTCTAGGAAGGTGCTATCAAACACATAAACATGGAAGGAGATATGGAGATACTTTGGAAGCTTGGATGCAACTTCCTCTTGTCTCCAAACTAGTCCTATAAATAGAGTGCTCCATTGTTGTTCATGGTATCAATTTAGAAAGTGAGAAAAGTGTGTGAAGAGTGAAATACACTTAGTGTAGAAGTGTATTGGTGAGGATTGGTTTTTTGTAATAGTTGAGTGTGAGAGTTTGCTCCTCCTATTGTAATTCTGTTCTTGATATTGAATAGAAGAATTTTCCAATCCCAACAATTTTGTGGTTCTTTAAACCTTGGTATGACTTTAGTAGGCTATTTTGTATCCCGTTTCATCAGTCAAAGAGTGAAGAATGCCTTTGAGCTGAAAAGGTTTAAATGGTTATAATAAAGAAAAATGACATTCATACACGTTTTGTCTTACACTTTTTGTTGTTTTGTACACATAGGTCAGATCAAATCATAGACAATCGTTGTCTATGGAGTTTGATCACTGAAAAGATAAATCGAAAAAACTTGTAAATTGTTCACACACGCAATTAATGTTTGTGTATAAACATTTATTTACGTACCGCTCACATGGGTTTGTGTGTTGTATGTGCAATTTGCACAATTGGAAAACCAATGCTTATACCTGTCATATTATTTCCACAAAAGACAAGAAATGTTTGTAATCATCTTGTAGTTTTCCAACATATTTACCTTTTGTCTAATGTCAGTGTACACAGACATTGGTTGTCTGTGTAGACAAAAAAAGTGTTGGTGTGAAAAAATTAGTTGGAAAACAAGTGTCGGTGTACATAGACGTTAGTTGTCTTGTAGAAAAATGTGTCTGTATATATACAATTTTTGTCTGTGTACACAAACATTAAAGCAAACCAGTGTCGGTGTGCATAAAACGTAAAAAGAGAGAAGGAAAGAAAAAGAAGATGGTGATGAAGATAATGAAAATGATTAGGGTGAATAAAACCTAATGGGAGAAGAAAGCAGAAAGAAAGAAAGAAGAGAGAAGTGAGGGACATCCGTATGGTCCAAATGGGAGAGAAAAGTTGGGAGGGGATATACAGGGTGTACACCGAAGATGCACCAAAAGAAAAATTCGTTGTTTTTATCATTCAAACAGTAAAAACACGACTCGTATTAGCTAGTGCAAAAGGTTTTGTTTGAAAAAAAAAAAGGTTTTGTTTGACTACTACGGTATTTTAAATGCACCATTTTTAGAGCAATACTACAGTATTTTAAATGCAGTATTTTTATAGCAATACTTGATGTATAATGAACGTTTAGGATAAAATTACGGATAATTTTTGCATCATTTGATGAAATGTATGGGACGTGTACACATGGCACTTTCTATGCGAATATGGAGTAAAGGGTCAGATTGGTCCTCAAAGTTGCATAAAAGGAGTCAAATAAGTCCTTATATAGGAGACTCTGTCCGACCGTCACCATTTAAGGCGGTTCCCGGTGGAATTTTTTGATGAATTATTTTTTAGCATCTTATTCATTAAGTCTAGTTTACTCATCAAATTTCAACTAAAACTTCAATCGGAAAGGCATTCAAATGAATTCTTGAAGATAACTACACGGTTAAAAACGCATATCTTCAAGAATTCATTTGTATGCCTTCCCGATTGACATTTTAGCTGAAATTCGGTATGAGTAAACTAAACTTAATAAATAAGATGTTCAAAAAAATTCATCAAAAAATTCCATCAAGAATCGCCCCAAATGGCAACGGCCGGAGAGTAAGGACTTATTTGACCCTTTTATGCAACTTTGAGAACCAATCTGACCTCTTACTCCTTTCTATGCTTTTAATCTTACTTTTCTTTTTTTCTCATGAATAGCAGTGGCATAAGCACGGGCACAACACCAGTGACAACTAATCCCACTACAAGACCACCACCAATCGGCATGCCATCAACCGCCACCGCCACCGGCGGTAACTCAATCTTCACACCTCCTACCACGGGTGGTGTCCTCGGAGTAGGTATCAACACCCCTACACCTGCTGCCGGTATGAACAGTGACGTGAGCCACGGTGGGGTTTCTCTCCAATGCACATTAGTACTTCCCTTTCTCACCGCACTCATAACCTATTTAGTAGTGGCATCACATTTGTTGCAATGATTCAATTATTACTAGTACTGTATCTATATTTTGAGGTAGTGCTCACATTATTGTGACAATGAAAGTTTCAGAATTCTGTTTTGGTTTTGTTAACTTTCCATTGTCCAAGTGTTATAATGGTCACACTTTTGAAGTTTTGATACTCATTTTTTAACTTTTTACTTTTTTGATCATCTAACCATCGTGAGAGTGACAATTTTGTTACTCATATTTAGACTCTGGCACAATGATTGGAGGAATGAGTAGTTTTGTGCAAAATTTTGTGAACTAGATTAATGGGGTAAAAACCTGCATTTTTTATTGGTGGATGCGTCTGCCTCCTAATTGTGTCACTACTTTAGGGTGTTTGAATATGATTCTAAAACTCCTTCAGAGAGCAGAAGCAGAAGCAGAAGTTGGAGTATTTGGGTGAAAGTGCAGAAGTGATTCTGATGCTCCAATTTACTCCTAAAAAGTTGCTTCTGCTTCTAAATAAGTTGATTCTAGTGATTCTAATTTTGATTTTGCTTTTGCTTTAAAAAAAGAAGCAGAAGCAATTCCAAACACCCTCTTAATACTTGAAAGTTGAAGGATATAATGGAGTTCCACTAGCATTTACTCATTTAGTATATGATTTTAAGTGATCTTTTTATTTTCCAAAACTTTGCTCCAGTCCGAGGCTAGTTAATGCGCATCTAACTAAAGCATGAGGAGAAATTGAAATTAGTCGTCTTAAAAAACGAGAATAACAGACCCAGTTGAAAGGCCAAAACAATGTTAGAATGGTTTCGGTTGTTTGGTTCGAATTTCCATACTTAGGGTACTTTGAGAACCGAGATACTATAAGACTATAAGTCAACCAGTCAAGTATATGAAAATGTGACATTACAGCAATGTAATAATGACATGAAAACTAGTCACATTCTCCTGAAAATCTTAGTGACAAAATTGAGTGGTTTAATGCACCAAACCCCTCGTGATATAGAAATTCAGCGCATTAACCCATTGTGATAATAAATCATGCACAAAACCCCTTTTATGAATAAATTTAACGACTTGAAAATCACTTTTCCTAATATTCTGATTGAATATGCAAGTAAATATGTCAAAATCTCTAAATCAGACAAAAATGTTAATCATTTTTTTTAATTTGACAAACGAATTTGTTCATAGAAGGGATTTTGCGCATAATTAAATAAAACACAAGGGGGTTTGACGCATTTTTTAAATCACAGAGGGCTAATGTGTCGAATTTCCATATCACATGGGAGTTTGGTGCATTAAACCCCAAAATTAAGCAAGTAATAATCTCATTCCAAATAAACAAAAACTATTTGAAACAATTATTTACTTTCAAAAAATCCAAAAAAATAAAAAACATCAAATAGAAGTAGCGAGTTACAATGATATTTAGGATGTTTTCTTTTGGACTGTTTTCAGTCCCAGACCAGACTTAAACAGACCATACCAGACCAGACTTAAACAGACTAGACCAGACCAGACCAGACTTCCGTAGTTATAAAATACACAGAGACCAGACGTTTACCAGACCAGACCAGTTCAGACCAGACCAGACCAGACCAGACCAGACTTAAACAGACCAGACCAGACCAGACTTAAACAGACCAGACCAGACCAGACCAGCAAATTTCAGTCCAAAAGAAAACATCCTTACTTAAGCCAACAAATAAAATCAAAACATATATTTTTCTTAATTTATAACCTTAATTAGCCAAAATTAGAATGGTATCATGATCACAATAACCCTTTCGGGATAGAGTTCCATATTAGTATACCGCACTGTTCAATGTAACATCCATTCGCGCACTTTTTCACATTACGTTCCAGGAAGTAATCATATTATTTACGTAGATCTTGCATTCTGTTTTCCAAAAAGACCATTAGCATAAAATATCATTTCTCAACTCAAGAGTGATCTAGATGTTTGAGCTGAAAAAATATGCTTTAATCTCCTACAATACCGGGTCAATGCCTTGGCATAAGATGTCGGTCAGAACAGTCTTAACATATATTGACAAAAGTACCCATCATGAGAATAGCAGCAGAGTATGAAGTGGAGGATAGAGTGTTTTAGGAGACCTCTTGTAATGAAGAATCTTTTTTGTCAATCGACATACTACTATTACTCCCAGTCAGTTTGTTGCTGTTGTCCAGCCTTTCATTAAATGTCTCTCTCAGCAATTCGACAGCCATGAAGGTTAGTGCTGATGCCGGGATGTACCATGTAATTCTAGGAATGCTACCTCTGAACATCCCCCTCAAACCCTCAGTCGCCCATATCTTATGAACGGCATCGGACCAACCACTATACCTGGAGATCATACCATTTGAATATATGGTCAATTGGTACCTTGGCAGTCATCGCAATTCCCAACGCTTAGCAAGTTATAATGCATGGAGAAAAATAATAGTGTATCTATCCCAAAAATGATGTTGGCCCAAAACTCTTCTCGTTTCACTCTCTGCAGCTTCTCCTCAATGCTTTGTTTGGTTGAGCAAAGATATAAGAGAGGCATAGAATAATAAGAGAGATGTAAATAACACTCTTCTATTTCTTCTCATATTAGGAGAGATTTTATAAGGTGTGTCCTACCTCCTACACTAAATTCAGTCCTAAACCAAATTAGAGAAGTTGATCATTTCTCTTCTATAGTTCTATTTCTTGCCCCTGATTCTTTCTTTCCAATCTTTACCAAGTGAATAAAACATATACAAAAAACACAAATAGAACTACCATTGTTAGGACTACCATTGTTTTCTTCCTGAAATAGGACTCAGTCACCCCTAGTTGGGGAAGTTTTATATTAATAGGATCAAATATGTACTATTTTGGGAATAAAATATAATTACTCCTATTTGTGCACTTTGTCTATGTTTTAGTCCTATTTAAAGCAATTGTTTATAAATAAATAAAACTTTCTTTCCCATTTATACTCCACTAAACAAAGCAACACGTGAATATTAACCCTCAAGGTTGTCGGAATATCCATTTAGATTCCACTATACAAAGGCTAAACGTGAATTTTGACCCCCAAAACGTGATATCCACTTTCATATAGTTCCTAACTTGAGATGTTAATGTCTTGGCAAGTTGCCAACAATATTCTGCAACTTGGTCTTCGGTAAATACTCTGTATACAGGAAAGAAAACGACAGTTTTTCCCCTGTTCAGTTTTACCTTAGCAAATTGGAAGATAAATTAAATACGAATACAGACTATAAATGTTTCATTTTTAGGTAACTTTAAATTTCCTAGCCTTTATGCAATAAAAATAAATAAATAAATAAATAAATAAATAAATAAATAAATAAATAAATAAATAAATAAATAAATAAATAAATAAATAAATAAATAAATAAATAAATAAATAAATAAATAAATAAATAAATAAATAAATAAATAAATAAATAAATAAATAAATAAATAAATAAATAAATAAATAAATAAATAAATAAATAAATAAATAAATAAATAAATAAATAAATAAATAAATAAATAAATAAATAAATAAGTATGTAAAGAAAGAAAGAAAGAAAGAAAGGAAGAAAGGAAGCAAGGAGGCAAGGGAGGGAAGGGAGGGAAGGGGGGAAGGAAGGGGGCAAGAAAGAGAGAAAGAGAGAAAGAGAGAAAGATAATAAATAAAGATAATAAATAAAGAAAGAAAGAAAGAAAGAAAGAAAGAAAGAAAGAAAGAAAGAAAGAAAGAAAGAAAGAAAGAAAGAAACAAACAAACAAACAAACAAACAAACAAACAAACAAACAAACAAACAAACAAACAAACAAACAAACAAACAAACAAACAAACAAACAAATAAATAAATGCAGTTATTTGACTTTCAGCTAATTTTTGTTTCCTTTGCTTTAAACTTTCCTCTAGGTTTTGCTTCTATTTTAAAAAAACATTTTACCAATTTATAAACGGAGACAATTGTTTTCATCCAAATATTAAAAAAATGATATACGTTTGTGATTTGCCTACTTCTAGAGTTCCACCTGAAGCATATTTGAGGGTCCATGAAAGAGGGCCTTGGGGAGGAATTAAATCAAGGAGCACAATGATTGCAGGAAATAGGAATACCTTAATATTTTCCCCTGTACTTGTAATCTTGTTTTAACAACATCAAAGGGTGTGGTTAGATATGCACTTAAACCTGTAATGTAAAGTGAAATCAGAATGAAACATCAGTTGCATGGTACTACATAAACAATATACAGCACATAAGTGTACATTTGGCAGCAACACCAAGAGATGCTTACCCCCAGCTAGTCCTCCCAACAAGAGCCCTTCTACAGAGCTATTCAATTGAAGATTTGAGTTGGGAAACCATTTTTGTTTCCCGTACTCTGTCATATTTTTAAAGGCCTCATAGAAAGTAACCTGTAGGTGAGAATTAACAGTTCAAACAGAAGATAATCAAGAATTCAAGATACAACAACAACAACATCCAAACCTTAATCCCAAAAGATTTGGGGTCGGCTAACATGAATCGATCCATGATATCGAGATATGGAAGTAAAATTCATTAATTAGCTCTAATATAAATATAAGTAGGGTGACAAGAAGCTGGACCAAGCCAGTTGTGAGCTGAACCAGCATGAAACAAAAATCTACTTGCAACATGAAGTGCTATTCAGTAGGGGTGAACAAATAACAGACCTGGCCGAAGACGAGGGCCGAACTGATCAAAATGATCAGTTTACGGCCGGTTACCGATTATCAAAATATAAAGGCTTAAATACGTTTTTAGTCCCTGCAAATATGACACATTTTGGTTTAAGTCCCTGCAAAATATTTTTCTTGTTTTTCATCCCTGCAATATACACTATTTTGCTTTTAGCCCATCTCCAATTCCAAAACTACTCTACTTACAACAAAAATTATTGTTAGTTATATAAATCTAGTAAAAATACGTACATTTATCCTTTTAAAATTTTTTGAGGCTAATATGAGAGTTAAAATAATTTAAATCTAAGTATTCATATTTTGAAAATATATATTAACAATAAATTTCAAAATATGAGAGGAAATGTATTAATCGGGGTTAGAGGAAATAAAATAATAACACCAATAATCGGGGTTTTCTTTTTAGTCCATCATTGGTGATAACAATCTCCGTTAAAATAATAAAATAAAATACTTTTTAAATAACATGACAAAGAATTAGAGGAAATGTATTAATCGGGGTTATTTTGAGGTCAAAACGGAGATTGTTATCACCAATGATGGACTAAAAAGAAAACCAACGTAATTGCAGGGACGAAAAACAAAAAAATAATTTTGCAGGGATGTAAAACAAAATGTACTATATTTGCAGGGACTAAACACATATTTAAACCAAATATAAAATATATAAGTGATTCAGTTACAAGTTGGTTTGAATTCCTCGGCTTCGATCAGTAACAGATTACCAAATCCTAGTGTATAGAATAACAGATATTAGCCCGCAGGTTTCATACTTTCATTAGCACATATTTTCAGTACATCTGATGTACTGAAAATAGGCACACCTCACTAAACGCCCTATTGGGTATGCAATATGTGTACGCCTAAGCAGCAATTGCGCAAGTTTCTATATTGCTTAAATCGGGATACGCCTCCCATCCTACATAGGCAAAAAATGCCAAGGTGCGCCTTGAGGCGGTAAGGCATTGAGCAATTTAAAACAATGGTACATTAGGGCTTCATGCCTTCACTCCATTATGCTACTCAGGATCCTGTTTACTTTCGTCTTCCCTAAATCCTTTCTTCTTTCTACTGTTCTTCATGCCTTCACTCCATTGTGCTTCAGAATCTTAACATATCTATGAACACGGTTCTCTCTTGCCAAACTTAACAGATTCTTTGATGTCTCATTATTTTGAATAACTCATTGGGTTCTCCTAATCTTTTAGGCTTTGCTGAATACACATGTAGCATTTGTTTCTCGTTTTTTAGTTCTCAGATAATTGATTTTGTTATTCATTTGGGTAAATCTTATGATTTTTTTAATAAATATGTTTTTACATTCTCACGTCATACATCTAATTATATTTGGAGCTTCTTGTCTACTCTGTATATATTATCGCTACATATATATATAGTATATAGAACTCACAAAAAATTAAGAATAATGCATAGAACCTTTTCCTCATGCATTTACACCATTCAAATAAAACATTTTGTGCATTGCTGTATCTGTATAAAGCTGATTCTAGGATCTGTTTGGGCTAATCTATCTTCGGTTATGTTTGGCTATACGGTCACCGATTGAAATCAAGTAGCGGTCATTTGGTTGGTTATAGTGATAATGTTGGTCGGTTTTGGCCAGTCATTGAAGGCTTGGAGCTCTAATTTTTGTCAGCTATTCAGTTATCGCTCGATTATTTAACCGAGCAGCCGAATGCTCAGCTCTACAGTTAGGTGGACATTTGCTGCTAGTGCTGGACACCAAGCAGTGCTGAAGTTACTTTGTGGTTAAGAATCTTAAGATGGCTGACTTTAAACTTCAACTTTCATTTTAGATATTATTATTTTCTTTATATTATTTAAAATATAGTATATTTATATGTAATTTGCATATCCAGCCACAACTACAGGGGTGCAGCCATTTTAGGCCTTACCGGGGCTCTAATGCTTCTATTTCCCTTCTCTGACAATCTAAATGCATCACTCTTGGCCAAATTCATTAGCCGTGAGTTCTTACTTACATGAGTTACATCTACGCTAGAAGACTACACTGCACAGGGAAATAAATGCAGTTTCTACTTCACAGGTATGTTTTGCATCAGGCCTCATCAGAAGATATACAACATGTTTGTTACATAACTAAAAAGGAATAAAAATGGATTAATCATATACACTTAGAGCAGTAGAGTTGTACCATTAAGCCAGCAAAGGGCACATCTCTAGCAAGTGTGGACCAGTATCTGCAAAAGTAAGAGCAAGGAAATTTACACCCACATACAGAATCAACTTCTGAATTAATTTTGTATTCACACTTTCGCCCTTTGCTATCTAACATGTTCAGAAGAGCAGCAAAATAGATAAGTAAATAAAAGCAATACCCTGCATATAAACCCTTTGGCCCCTGTTCCCTCCAAATAGAGCAGCCAGCTTGAAACATTCCTGAATAGTAACCATACGTGTTCAGGCTGTGTTCCATATGGGCACCATCCTTTAACAAAACAGAAGTCCAATACTTTCTTGTGCCTTGGACCTGCATGCGTTGCTTTATCACTTCACACGGGACATATACAAATGAGCCTAATGTATCACCTAAACAAAGGAATATTAAATGCTTTACTTTTGAGTTCAACGGCATGAAAGAAATCCAATAAACGTGTGTATGACTGATGACCATCCAAACCAAAGTGAGAGTGAAAAGAATAGATAGAAAGGTTTACCTATAGCTCCAGCAATGAAATGTGCCCAATGGCCACTAAGACTCGGATGAGTATGTTCAATCCACTTCTTTGTTGACTCTATGACCCCAAAATAAGTAGCTCCAGTTGCCAAAGACCCAGTGATCCCTGGTGCTACTCCTCGATAAAATCCTGCCATGAAAATCAACCATATGCTATAACGAACATTGGATGATTGAGCATTATTGGAATTGTCCAGAGAAAACAACGAGAGGGAATGGAGTACCAGCTAAACTATCTGTAGTCCAGACAGTTTGGATCATTTGTAACACGCTTTTCTGGTTCTGGAAATGGCGAAGTGTGACACATTACGTTAGGATTGAATCCATCAGCATTTCTTGTTAAAGCATCTCAATCAATCATAGGAGTAAAGCTCAGCAAGTGACGACCAAATGCAACTAAAAAATCAATCAGAAATGAATCATTCTGCATTCATACCCGAGATCCACCAAGAATGGCCTGGCTTTGAATGCGAGTTTTGATAGTATCAATCGGGTGCATCATTCCTTCCCCAAAAGCTCCGGCAATTGCACCCCATACGAACTCCCTCCAAACTGGAAATGAACACACACATAACAAACGAAAAAGGAATTCGAGCACTGCGCTAGCGTATTTTACCTCAAATAAGCTAAAATATAAACGCCAGAGCTAAATCGTCGACTGTACAATTGGTGTACGAGAAACGAATCAACGGCATATATAAACACGCAGGTACATTGGCAACACTGCTTACCGAAAAACTGGTTATTGGGTATATTGTTGAGATGAGCTGTCAACACTTTTGATGAATCCCCGGGAGTTGGATCGGATGACGCCATTGATGATCTGTGGTTCTGAGAGGAGACGTACGGTTTTGGAGAGGTTTAGTCACTGTTGTGTTTTTATGGAAGAGTACTCTCCACTCTCTAGCCAAACAGATTACTCCCTCCGTATCTTAAAAATCTTCTCACTTTCCTTTTTCGTCCGTAACAAAAAAATCTTCCCAATTCTAAATCTTCTCATCATACCCTCAATAATTCTTACAATAATACACTATTACAACTACTTTTTTTGGATTTATTCTACATTCCACCACATTATTCCACCATTTTCCCATCATACCCTCAATAATTCAAATCATCTTTCACTATTCTTAATCTATCTACTTTTGAAATGGGAAGATTTTAAAGTTACGGAGGGAGTACTGGATTAGGGAAGTAACCAACTAACCACGCGGGGAAGTCCACTGACTCCACTCTAGAGTCAAACGGAGTATATAACCGCTCTATCGGACCTGCTCCATCTCCTGTGACCGGATTCCGAGTCAAACCGGCCGATCTGGTCTGATTCTTAAACATAACTCTAGCAAGGTTGGCTACCGGGACAGACCTAAGAAATTCATCTTGGGGATTCAAAATATTTTTTGGGGTGAAAATTATTTTTTGAGGGGGTGAAAATTATTTTTTGGTTCTCTGCTATGATTCGCCCCTAGTTGGCTACCTCCATTTTTAAAAATTGTTATTTTTTAACAGTAAGACCATTTGCAATGGTGGGAGGTCAAATTGTTAAAAATGAACTTCGTCCATTTTTTTTAACGAAACTGACTTAACTTATCATATCATAAAGAAGTAAAGAACATAACCAAAGCAGGTTACAAAGCGACGACAACTCTTCTGTCTACCATCCGCTCAAGGACTAGACTTTGAATTAATCACCTTCGAAGAAGCCATATAATTTGATGATCCCACTTTGGACTTATTTGAGTCAATGACTTGTGAACTAGACTCCTCATCCATTGGCTTAGGTTCAAGAGTTTTTTGCTGGAAAAATGCGGCACAAACAAAACACGGTATGCATCCAAAACGTGGAAAATAAAGAAAAAAGAGCAAACAAAATAAAACTATCTCTAGGCTAACAAAGCAATCATCAATCTCAAAAACTCTAGTGGGTTTGTGATCCACCACCCGCCCATGTCCCGCTTTTTTGGGGGATCAAGGACCATTTCTTCCTTTGTTGCGTCCTTCGTGGCTTGCTCCTCCCAAGTACGCCTTCTTTTAGCTCTCCTGGTCCTCCTCCGTCCACCTGAGCCTCACTCTGGATTAGTAGAAGTCTCCATCCTGCTTTGAGTGCTCTCTCCTATCAATTCTGGGTCCTGACCTTGAGTTGATTTCTCCACGCGAGCCTTGTTATTGCCACCTGTTGAGGAGCTCGAAACCAGACATTTGCTACCCTAAAGAAAGTCTAGTCTTCCTCCCACCCGCTCGTAGCCACGGATCAAATGGCTTAGTCAAACCTTCTCCTCCTTTTTCATACAGTAGAGGGCAAAATTTATGTGCATGTCTGATGACCCCATAGCAAAAACAGAAACTCGGAAGCCTTTCATATTTAAAATTGACCCAGTACCCGACCTTCTCCTTTACTTTTCTTGATAGTAGTCCCAATTTTTAAGGATTTATTCGCATTCATGTGAACTCTAACCCGCATATAAGCCTCCCATTTTTCATCAAATTGATTATCATCCCACCTAACAAACTCACCCAGATAATTCCCAATTCTTCCAGTTGTTCCAAGATTATCATAACTATATGGCACACTATGAACCTGTATCCAGAGCTCAAACGTATCTAGCGAAACTTTAAGTAGGATATCTTCTGACTTAATAGCTTTTAAAACAATCAAATTCTTATCAAACAACTAGGGACCATTATCCAAGCTACGATTCATATCAACAGAGTGGAAATTTTTTAAGTGATACCTCTTTTCTCCAATCCCCTTTATCAAAATTCCTTTGCTCGGACGCCATAAAGCTGCCATGAGATCCTTAAAGATCTGAAAACGAACCACTTTGTCCGTGAGAATCGTCCCAACTACCAGAAACTCCTCCGGCTTCATGGCACCGACCACCGCTGCCCCCTCTTTTTCATCTTTGAGCACCGGCTCGTCCTCAACGTCGCCGATGCCCAGCCCCCCATACTTCGCGGCTAGGCTATTGTTCGAGTTCGAAACCCGCTAGGCACATAAGGGTTCAAAATTCAATGGAGTGAGTTTCAACCCTGATTACTCCAGGCCTCCCCCGGCCCCCCTCCCGCAACCCCCTGGAGTAAAAAATGAAAAAAGAAAGATTATGTATTTCATTATCTCTATGATTCTGTCACGTTGTTCTTAGCATTTCATGGATACAATATATTAGTATGACCTTGAGTAGTCATGATTCATGAATTGGGAAATATGAAAGGGGGTTGGGTTACTGTAACGCCCCTCTCAGGGTTAAAGGATACGTTACACTAACTTATTACTTTTTAAAAAATAATTGCAATATAACGGTCGTCTATTTAAGAAAATAACCCTGATAAAATCTCAGTATTAACTAAAACAACTCTAAATAAAAACTTAATAAAATATAGTTATCACCAGCAAATGTGACAACCACCTGGATCCAGGAATTTATTCAAACTTCAAATCCTTAAAATAAAATAAAGTAATAATAATCACTTTATTATAAAAACTATACTTAAATACAATAATAACTAGCTAGATACTGCCAAGGTCGTTCCCGTTAACTCATTTCGGCACGCTTTAACCACTTAGCTATGGATGCTTAAACGAGACCATCATCTATCAAAATTGAAAATTAAAATAGAATAATTATGGCAATTTTTAATCTTGGAATATTTAATTACATTGAATTACAGCAAAAAATGTCGTTTAGCCTTACCCTTAGCTTTAGTATCTGTACATGCGAAGAAAGAAAACTGATAAGCTTTACGCTTAGTAAGTCACTATGGATCCACAAAAATATCTAGAAGTCTATGTCAACTTATCAATAGATAAATTTAGGCTATAAGCATGCACTGAACAAATAACTAACACATAACTAACACATAACTTCTAAAATACATTCTGAGTGAGATCTCAAAAGGAAAATATTTTCTAAAATAATTTCTCAAAACTGCTGGAGAGATCTCAAAATTTCATTCCAAGAACATCTCTGTAAACTTTCTGAAAGAGATCTAAAAAAAAAATAACTTTCTGTAAAACTTTCTGAAAGAGATCTCATAACTTTCTGTAAAACTCTTTGTGGCTAATTTTAACTGTGGGCCCGTGATATGTACTCAAAGGCGCCAATCCGACAGCTTAGGGGAGCGACCCACTAAACATATCGGACTCTCTGAAACTGATAAGCTGATAACTGATAAACTGAGGGAACTTGTTCCCGAGTACATATCACCTGATCTTTCACTTTAAATATTAGTTCTTTTTATGGTGGTGACGTTTGATTAAAAACATCATTAAATCTGGAAATAAAAGTACTGACAAAATCTTGACTATGCCAGATAATAAACATAACTTAATACATCAAATAAAATAACTTAGCAAATAATTCCCTAGGTTCACATAATAGCATATAGACTAAAATCATCTATTAAAAATCAACCAGACTTCTTTCTTTTATGAGTTGAACAAACATGTACAGGTGGTAGTGAACTTACCTGTTAGCAGCTGAACTCAAAATACTCATATAAGTGTGGCACTTCGGTAACGTCTTCCGGTAAGCTCTTCTTTTAAATCTTTAATCTTTAATATATATAATAATACAACATAAGAGTTTGCCATGTCCAACTGAAAATGTGTGACTGAAATACATCTTCTACGCTAATGCACTAAATCTGAAGGCCATAATATTTTCATCTTTCTCTGAAATAAATCTGATTTCTAAACACAAATGTTCCTGATTTATGAGCAACACCAAACTCATGCTATATTTAAACTAATTTAGATCCTGAAATCTGAGTTACTATCGTACAGCCAAAATTAAACCTGAGCAACATTAATTGAAATTCACTATATAGAGCCAGATAATCTTTCAGCAGGTAGCCACAAAAACTAGAAGCTACCTACAGAAATTGATCTGAAAACTTATACGAAGTATTTCAAAACCATTTAAAATCTGACATTTAGTGGAAAGTAAATGGTGGGTGCTGGATTAATAAAAGAAGCTTGTAAATAGTAGTATTAGGTTGATAATTCGTAGAGTTTAAAGCTGGTAACAATTCTTACAATTAAATTGACTATTTCTATGAAAGTTTAAATGACTGTTAAACTATTAACACACTTAAATCGTAACTAGAGGAAGAAAAGTTAAAAGTTTCTAAACTTAGTGGCAGAGACTTAGGTCAAGACAAAGTATGAAATCTACTATGCATAGAGAGAAATTAACTTGATGATGCACACGTTTTCAAATCAGGCATCCTTTGAATCGTGCTAATTCCAAAAGAAAGTAGTCAGGTTGTTCACATTTTTTTTTCCAACTAACTCATAGCAGGACTATAACCAGGTAGAACAGAAGTTCAGCTTACTTGATAAAAGATGCAGAGGCAAAAGAAATCTGATTGAAGCTTTGGCCGAGACCGGGGGAAGTGAAGAGAGAATTATTTTATGCCCGGATGAAAAAGAACGGCAGACTGTTGGCTAAGGAATGAATCGATACCCAAGGGTTTGGGAATGATAAGATATTAATAGCTATCTCTTTCTAGGGATTTCAGTCAAAATATTAATTTGGGCCCTAATTAAGTCTCTTAGTCCTTTAAGAAATACTTGTGACCCATCTGAATAATGATATTTTCCCCTTCAATAAAAATACTAAATAGATATTAATAATTTATTTCTTCGATTATTATTATTAGCTTACTGGTCAACGTTACCTGCCACAACCAAACAACAAACATGTTAAATAATATATCACATTATTCATAGAATAAACTTATTTAACTGACTAAAATTAATAATGACTAAATAAAATAAAAGATTAATGTAACAAGATCGCTATAATCGGGGTGTTACAACCCCTCCCACCTTATAAAAGTTTCGTCCTCGAAACTTAGAACAACTCGGGATAACGCCTCACATTATTCCTTTTCTGATTTCTCACAAGGTTTCACTGCAACTATAATAGCTTTTTATCTTTTACAAGGTTACTTTACTTCAGGAGCATGTGACTTTAATACTCCAATTTCATACTGACATTTTTTTGTTTCTAATTACCAACCTGATTAAGTTTCTCTTATGGGGGAGACATATTACTACTTAAGACTACACAAAGATCTCCACAATTTCTGGATAGTTTACTATAATAAGATAATCTTGTTTGAATGCTCTTCAACACAAGATCACAAACTCACAATATAGCATATATATACTCATTACTTTGCCATGTTTTGCTTATTAAGATGAAATAGAAAGACAATAGTAAATTTTAACCTTGTCATAAAAACTTACCTCACATACTACTAAAAATGAAATTCAAAATCACCTTCTGTTGGTATCCTTACATACGTCAGACTTTTTTTTTTTAAAAAAAATATATGAATAGAACTCTTTCTAAAATTCATTCTTGATTGCTGAAATTCTGGCATTACTATATTTGAAAAAAAAATGTTTTCTTCTATGTGAGTTTTTTAGAGTTTCCTCTTCACAATTTATTTACGTTGTGGGGGAGGGTGGAGCTTTCTCATTCGCCATTTTATCGATTCTATCCAACAGATTGCTTTATTTATGCCATACGCCCTTTATGTAAAATACCAATTTACTAGCTATCTCACAAACTGTTCATGGTAGCAGTATGACAACTTATGAGACTCATATGTAAGCCAAAGACTTCATATATAAAAAAAATATTCTTAATCACAGTAACATAGTATTATATATTTACTGTTGGATTCTTAAGACTTCTTCTTCTTTTATGCGTGATAACGTACTCAAGTATAGCGCATGTTTTATACTCTCAAGAAAAATCATTCTCTTGATATGTTACACTTCTACTTTCTATTGTCAAGGTGGTTCTCTACACGAAAATCTTTCCTAAAGCACAAGGGGAATTTTCATTTCTTTTAATAATCCACTATAATTTGACTTACTATTATATCAAAAGGAAACTTTTTAAAGTCTAAAGTAGATTAAAGTCCTAAACTCCCTTTTTTTTTTCACGCTAGCATCTCACAATTATCTTTTCATCAAAAGAAAAACTTTCTTATGGTTCTATACCTCAGAACTCAAAATTATAACTTCATAGAATAGTATCCCTGAGTAGCCAGGAAAGTTGAATCAAATTGTAAATTAGATTTCTCATTTTATCGTAGAATTTCAGTTTTGAAACGAACAACTATTTCTAATTTCTAATGAGGTGAGCATCTATCTTATCCAATCTTTGAACATAATTTACTAATTGAAACTAATAGCCTCAATATCTAGAGGAAAAGTCTTTTTGGGCTCCCTCAAAACATCACTATGTGGGTTACAATTAAAATGTCAACATTAAAAGGAATTGTTTGCTTAATTTCAAATTTTCATGTTTGTTAAAAACAAGACATCATCAATGTTTTGGTTAACAAAATTGACATTGTCAAGCACATAAGTGTCTGACACAAAATACTTAACAAAATACTTCACAACAGACATTCTTTTGTTTTCAATAATTACTTTATGATTCTATCTCTTTAGCTGTAGGATGATTCGGCAAAATGCTAGGAACTTCTTCTTCTTCTGCAATAAAAATTCTAACCCAAAATTCATTTTTTTTTCACAACCTCGTAACCCTCGTTATCTTCTCTCTTTAGATTTCAAATAGAAATAATAAACTGATCAAAGAATCTACACTGATATCTTTCAAATGAACATCTAACACCATAGCTAGGTCCTTATAGGTTTCATATATTCTTGACTTTGATTAACACTAATTTACTCCATAAAAGAATCACATTATATAATTTATAATTTACTCAACTGTTGGGGTCCAAGCCCTTAAGTTGTTGATGGCTCATAACAAAAGAATTGTTTGACGTGTCAAACTCTTTATACTCTTTATTCTTACCAATGCTTCTATAACTCAAAGAGCATATCAGCTACTAGCATAAGCTCATTGGGATACTGTCTACAAATACTTGTACAGAATGGCTATAAGGGAGCTTGAAGGTACCATATTCTTTATTCTACAGAATTCTTCATACTCTAGATCATACTGTATTGAAACACACTTCACAAAATACCCATATCGTAGTATGCAGCAGGTTCTAAGATTCATGATTTACCAGAAACTAGTTTAATCTAATCCTTCCACTCATCCCTACTCATCCCTTCTAATCTGACTTCTAAGAACCGAATACTATTAAAAACCTTTGAATCACGTATACAGACTTTAATGGTAGGTCATTCTAAAGAAATTTAAGTGGTGAGACTCAATATCTTTTGGTAATGATAAAATATATAATATACAATATCATATCATTTGAATCTCATTAATGGAGGCTGATATATTCTAAAATAAAATAAAATAATACTTCGTAGTTCTTAAAGGCATCTCAAAACTCAAGCTTTCTTCTGAAACATGCTTTTGAGGAAATAGGTAAATAATAGACTTATATATCACATCACTTAAAAGAATTTACTTATTTGACTTTATGTAAAAATCACTTCCATGTGATTAATCATTAATCACTAAATGCATTAAATGATTAAACAACACACGTTAAAATTTATTTAAAATTTACAACTTAAAGACAACATACTTTTGAATAATCCGACCATTGATCATATATCAAAGTGGTGTTTAACCAATGGTATCTAATGTTGGAATCGTGAAATTGATGAGGGGCCCTCCCAGCAACTCAAGATTCCAAACATGAAATACCAACACTCAACACTCTAGAAAAATCATGCAGCTTATGCTACCGTTAATAAAAACATTTAACTCCATTACTTAAGAACTTTCGAAATTCAAAGTGAAGCTCCTACATTTTACACAAACAAAAATAAGCTATAACTTATAACTCTTTTAATTATATTTTTTTAAAAAAAAAAAATTAATCAGATAATGTAAATAGCATGGGCATTTTTAAAATGATGTTCAATTAAACAAAATAGATAAAAATAATTAACAACTGATTTGTATGCTTATGAAAATTCTTCATCACACGTAAACTCACTTACATGTGATGCTTTTAACAAAATGTCAGACAAACTCATTATCATTCTTGTTAACTAAAAAAAATTAAGAAGACTTAGGCAATAAATAAACTACAAGCTATATAAAAAGATAGCTGGAATACCACTGATTGTGACGTAATTCAATTACTTACTCATGAGAAAATAAAGACTATATGACACTCTTTTTTTTTTAATTAACTCGAATTTTAATCAAGAAATACTTGCCATGAAAGATCAACCATGCTAAAATGGAAGGTTGCAAATATGTAATTATGAAAAATGTATGACTATAACGTTGGTGTCTCTCGATAACAACCCTAAGTACTTCCTTAATGAAATAAAAGACCTAACTCAAGAAATAGGCACTCAGATAAAAATTTAATCTGAATCACTCATAATAACACAAAGGTTTTACGAGTTGAGTACATATTACTCTCACTTGACTTTTCTATCTAACTAATACCAACAACACTCACCTTATCCCTCCATTTCATGACATTTGGAGAGTCATTGTTACCATACTCATTCTGGTTTTTCGCCTTCATCACTGACAGTCTAAGAACAAACTTTAGCTCCTCATTTTTCTTAAAGCAAATGAGAACAACTCACTGCTAATATAAATATGCACTATACATCTAAACCATAAAGGCATTCTTACTTTAGCCCTCCATCTAACGTATTATTCTTATTCATGCACAGAACTCTAAAATTAACTTTAAATACTTACTTGGAAGATGACGAGCACGTGTACGGTGACAAATGAAGTTACGGGACAACCTGGGCTCTGATACCAAATTTGTAACGCCCCTCTCAGGGTTAAAGGATACGTTACACTAACTTATTACTTTTAAAAAAATAATTGCAATATAACGGTCGTCTATTTAAGAAAATAACCCTGAGAGGGGCGTTACAGTTACTGTGTTTAAAAGCAAAACATTTCCAGGAACATGGCTCACATTATTTTTATGGATATTTTTTAGTACCACTTTTGATTATAGAAAAATAGTCACCAACTGACCCTATGAAATTAATAACTCATCTTAATAAGAGAATAAGATCCATAACGGTCTCCAAGCCATACAACCAAGCAACACTATGTATATCCTTCTCTTTAAACGACAAAGCTTAATCTAGGTAATAGTTAACTGAGGATATAACATAGTTATACGAGAAATAAAAAGGAAGTAGAAGCAAACTAATCATTTTCACTTCTAATTTTAAACGCATGTTTGATGCCAAGAAATTTCTATCTAACATGTATTACTAAATAAAAATCAAAACTGTCTGATTTGAATCAAGTCATTACAACAATTACAGATTACAACTTCTTTGTGGTCTTACACAATAGTATATGTATGAAGATTATAAGGTACCAATCCAATTCTCTTGAGCCATCTTGATGAATTTTCTGCAAATAAAAAAGAGAAGGAACCAACATCAACATTCGATAACAAAACAGCAAATACAACATCATCATCATCAACCGATAAAGATTATAACTTCTCTATAGCCTCACACAATAGTAAAG